TCACTGTAAAGTCCATTCTCGGTGGATGTGCACTGGTGGCTTCTGGCTTCTACATCACACTGTACAAGTTGCATACTGCACCAGGATTGCTGAAACATATATTACCTAAGACAGAAATAGGCTACAGTTATCTGAAAAGGAAGCGTGGTGTTTGGATTAAAGAGCGGCAGACCATTAGACAATACAAGCAGTCAAACTGGCTGGACCAGTCCACCACAGCGGGTGCTGTTGTTACCCTAAGAGGAGAGGAAGAGAGCCAGAAAGAAGCCATGCTGGCCCAGCTTGGACATGAGGATGCTCCTGGCTAATGTCCGGTTTAGAGGAATCTCTGATTCTGATATGGTTTATTTCATTTCACGTGGTCTTCATGAATTTAACTATATTTTTCTATGTGTGAAGCATGAAGTAACTGCAAACATTCATCTCTTTATAAAACCTTGTTGTATAATGATACATTTTCTTTATCCTTGACATATTAATCACACAGTCCTGTGACTGGTTGATTTTCTTTCAGGCCACAAATGAGTCCACTTGGAAGGGGACAGAGAAATTCCTCTTCAGGCTGTCTGGGACTGGTTGTTTAGCCTGCATCAGAGATTGATTGATAGCTTTCACACCAGCCTAAACAAACAGGGTAACCAGAGTTCATTTTAACTGAACCAAAAAGGTGTCAAAGCAGCCTCAATCTCAACGTCTCCACAGGTGCCTGTATGTCATGAAATTAATATTTGCACAAAATTCTTCCAATAGCTGTGTAGATATTACAGTGTGGACTGACCAACGCTACAGTGATCAAAAACCAGTTTCAAATAATTAGCAGCACACAAATCAATCAACCATGTCTATTTATTGTCTAAATTGTAAATCTGCAAATTTAGAAGCACAAATTCTCGGCCAGTTTCCCATGAGCTGAGCATTTCCATTATGGTGTTCACACATGAATAATGCAGACATGCTTGTTGACATCTCATTAATTGATAGGATCCGCCTGGCTTGCTACCTTCAACCTCCTTGGCATGGATAAATGGGAGAATGAAGTGCTCTGTGCTGAAGATGAGGCTACTTAAACAGCATTCACATACACACACACACACACACGTTGTGTGTAATGCTGATGAATTGTTCCTAATGCAGTGCTTCTCTCTGTTTGTGGCACAGATGAACCAAATGTATTTATCCTATTATGGCTGCTTGGCAGGTAGATCAGTTTGCTGAATGATTTACTGCTCCGGTGTTAAATTGAACCATTTACTCTGGAGGGCTTTTACCAGTACGATCAACTGGGTGCTCGATACGAAGGTGGGAATAGTTATTTCAAATAATAAATGGATGTGTGTGTGTATCAGGGCTGGATTCGGTTCATCATCGTGACTGCAGAAACACAAGGATCATTCACCCTAGGATTCCTATACACACACACACACACACACACACACAGAAGGCAGATCATTTTAGATGCCAGGAATGCAAATGGATGGATGAATACTGCCTCCAGTAGACTGCGTTGTTTAAGAAATGCCAGCAGTTTTAAAAAAAGGAATGAATTTTGGCTACGAGAGACTGATTTTGCCCTGAGAAAACATATGTTAGTATTAACAGGAAGTGAAATGTTTGTGTGAAAGTTTACACCCTAATATTCTAATTTTAGAAGTTTGAAAAAGACAATCTCAAATATCCTGTAGACCTAATTCCAGCTCAAACTGGTATGGAGAAACTAAAATTGTTATTGACCCCTACACACAACGTGATAACAACTGGGGGCACAGGCACTGAGGAAGGCTGGGGCACATGCTTTCTGTGTGGAGTTTGCATGTTCTCCCCTTGTTTGTGTGGGTTTCCTGCGGATGCTCCAGTTTCACCCACCATCAAAACTTGTATGTTAGGTTACTTCTCCAGTCAGTGCCGTTGACTAAGTTCTGGAGCTGGCCCCCTGCACGGTGGCTGCCCACTGCTCCTAGTACTTGGCACTTCCTGGTACATACTTCCATGTTAATCATGTCACACTGTGTGAGATGAGTCTAATAAAGTATTGTACTGTTACATTTGGTGAAACCACAAGCAATAGAACCCAAATGCAAGACTCAAGACAAGTGCTTGGTACAAAAAATATACAGTCTTTACTTGCCAAAATGAGTTCTGTACAGGAGGTCAATCACAGCAAGTAGACAAATCCAACAGGGAAATGGCAAAGGCAATGTCAAAAAACAGGCAGTAATCCATTAAAACCAGACTAAACACACAACACTAGAGATATGAAGGCTGGAACTCTAAACGCAAAGGTACAAACAATCAAAATCGGCAGGAAAAATACAAAGACAGGAAGTAAAGTAGAACATGACACAAGAGGAGGAAAACTACAAAATAAAACAGGAAGTAACCAAAGAAAACCCAAACAATGACATATATAGTATAATTGTTTGGGCATGTCCTGTAGCAGTCCCACTTCAAGTCAGCAATGCATATTCTCTAACAAATTTCGTACACAGAAGTTTATGGTAGTTTTTGCTAACTCTCTACTGGTGTTGAGGCCACACCCTCTAAAGTCACTGTCCTTTGCAGATATCTGATGCATCACTGTATGAATGTTTGTGAATGGGTGAATGTGCTGGTAAAACACTTTGAGTAGTCATAAGACTAGGAAGTATAGAAGATATAGATAAGATACTGTATATAGATAAAGTATATAAATTTACCATTTAGTAATTTGCTTGTTTTGTACCAACAAAGATTTCAAAGTTCCTCTGTTACTCTTAGACATTACAAAAATCACAGTGTAAAGGGGCCTTAAATTACTTTTTCCAAGTCTATTTTAACGCAATATTTACAGACCATATGTACTTGGACCATATTTACTGGTTGTTGTGATCATTCCTCCTCTTCATACAAGCTGTAAAGATATCTCTTCCTAATACAGTGACACTTAAAGACTGAAGCCAAAATCTAAAAATCCTGAGCAAAAGTTCAGATAAGACTAAGAGAAATATAGGCATAGCCTATATTTCTCTTAGAAAATGGCAACATTATTAGTTTCTGCCTCCTTTGATATAATCAGTAATCTGGCTGCACTGACTCCCAAGATGCAAATGAATAGCACATACTCATATGACATTTGAGATGTGGGACAGAGGCATATGGCACTGGTATCAGTCCAGAAGCCACTCAGTCAAGCAGGTGTGCAGAGAAGGTGAGAGATGATTGTGTGAAGTGTGAAATGCATGCTAGATGTGTTTGTTGACAAAAAGCCTTAGTACTGTGTATTAACACACAGAAGGGCAGGGTTGAGGAGCGAGGTGACTGATAAACTCATTACCACCGTTCCAGCCATCTGACAGGTTTTGTTTTTTTTCGTCATCACTAGCATGTAGCCTGTTAGCTCAGTCATAGAAGTGAAGAAGGCAGCAGACCTTCGAGGGAAGAGCAGGTGGAAAGAGAGAAATATAGGAATTTGTAGAAAATACAGATCTGATATAATGTCCTCTTTAACACACCCTGCTTATCCCATTGCTGCTTACCAAGTCATCAAAGGATTTTTTTTCCTTTCTGGTCTGGTCAGCAGCATAAAAAAGAAGAAAGATGGAAATGTTTTGTATTTAAGTTAGATAAGTTTCTGTTTCTCTACATTCAATGCTGTGAAATTTAATCAATGGCACATATCAATATAAACTAAAAAAGACACTAATACAAGTCACTGTTTATAACATAGTGAGGTTGAAAAGGGCATTCTATATTGCACTGCCATAAAATATTAATGTTACTTATATTTTCAATGCATATATTTAACCCTTTTAACTCTATGTGTCTCAAATGATGGATGCTGAATATACAGTATAAGGATGCGGAACTCACATACTGCTAATTACATTTCTCAGATGTGATTTTATGTGTAATGTGACTCCTCTTTTAATTATAAATACAGATGTAATTATGTTGTGTTTAATCATTTATAAACTAAGATTAAAAACCCGGTTAAAACATTTAATAAACATATAAATATAAAACAGTGGATACACAGTTCTGTAATGCTGTAAAAAATGTCAAAAAAAACTTGGCCTGTAGTTTGATGGAGGTAAATTGGTATAATTAGCCTGTGATGCTCTGGCCCATTAATTCCACTCTACCAATAACCGATTCTAGCATTTGCACAGCATGCCTGATGCGATGTTGATTGGTTATGAATTTCACTGACAGCATTTTGAATAGAGCAAGCTAACAAAAAAAATAAAAGCCAGTAGAGTATGCAACTTGATTGAAAAACCCTTTTGTAGCCCAGAGTAGTTAAAGTCCAGGTGAAAGCGAAATCAGAGTGCTGTTTGCATTTATATATTTCTTGTAAAAACAGGCAGTTAGGGAGGGACTTGTCACAGTAACTAGAAGCTCCCAGTTAAAAGCCCGTCCAGACTGGGACTGAAGAGAGCATCCAATGCCGAAGACAGAGGACATTTTGACGACACTGAATAAAATACAGAGGTGTTTTCATTGAAGGTTTTGGCTCCTGGGTCTAAGTTGGCTAACATTACAGAGCACAGGTTAATGACATCCAACATTACTGTTGGATCAACATTGCTAAATAGGTAAATAAATAATATATGGAGGCTGGAATCTTAAAGGTTTAAAATGACATTTTTCATTCGCCTGGACTCTATATACATGTAAATCTATGTACTAATATCCAAGAAAATCTACAGTTCACTTGATATGAATAAACGTATGCAAATATTACACTTGTATGGGTTTGAGATCAATAAAGTAAAAAAATAAAACAAATCTTATCTTACTGTTTAATGGGTTAAAAAAAAAGTTTTTGATGAGCTTGGAAAATAGCCAATGAGTTCAAGTTTACTGTCACCTTAGCCAATCAAATGCTTCAGCCAGCATCCCAGCTGTCCACAGACTGGTCACGCTTGCAAAGGTTCACAGGGCAAAGTGCCAGTCTTTCTTCTGTTATTGAAGTGCTATGAAACAATGGAGAAATTCGTTTTTACTTAATGTTGTGGTTTCAATTCATATTTGTGTTGACAATGTAAAATCAGTGTGGATGAAAAGAGAGTCGTTGTCCTTCCCAGCGTGTATATGAGGCCTAACGCAATTTTTCAAGCTATTGTGCCAAGTCATTGCACTGGTGAGTCGAGTCAACTTCTAGCATGTAAGCCAGCAAACTAGAGAAAAAATCTGCTAGCTGCAATGCTAATTTTCGTCATGTTAAACTCTATTGACTTCTGCTATAAACATAAAAACTAACCAAAAAATCTGCTACTTACAATGCAAATTTTTACAATGGGAAATCCCATTTGACTATGACTAAACAGAAATCGGAGAGCCATTTGCTTCAGCACATTTATGTAGTGTCTAGGGAGGGAATTAACGTCATGGTAGCCAAAGCACTGTGTGTTACGTCCCCCAGTCCAGCAGCTATAGTGGTCCTATTAGCTGACACTGCTATGAGTGGAAGCTCCTAGTAAACAGCACGACCAGACTAGGACTGAATGCCTACAGACAACAGGGAGTAAAGTACCTGCGTTTTTGTTGCCGGTTTTGGCTCTTGCCACCCAGGGCCAAGTTGGTTAACGCTAACTGCATGAGCTAATGGCATCATCTCTGTTGACGACAGTCAACTTCTTTTA